GCTAAGGAAGGAGTGAGTGATTAAGCCACCTCTGTCCAGGCTAAATAATCCAGTCTTAGGTCGCTACCCTATCATCATGGGATTTCACAGCTGGGAGCTACCTGAGACAGGTAGAGGAAGAGAGCCGGGGGCCTCCGTGGCTAGCCTTAGGAGCCAGCCTGGTCCTCCACAGCTGCTGCGGTACTTCATGGCCACAAAAACCCAGTGCGCAGCTCTTAAACCCTTGCCCAATCTGGACCTTCTTAATCCCTCAGCTGTCCTGTTGGGGAGCCGGGGCCAGCCTCACTTTGTCAACAAGGGAACTGGCTCAGACAGATTAAGTAACTTGCCCAAATTCACACATCCAGAAACCCTGGCTGCCCGCACCTGCTGCTCTTGCCCACATCACAGCCAGCCTCACAGGCACCCGCCCAAGCTCCTCTCTGCCCAAGAAACTGCAGGCCCAGGGATTTAGAGCCCGCTGTGGCTGTGAGGGTGGGGGGGGGAGGAGGAGAGCAGGCAGGACCCCACAGAGAAATAGAAACAGCAGATGCTCCTAGTGTATTTAAACCATGAGCTTTGTCTCCATGGACTGGAAACTGCAGTCTGAAATCCAGAGAAAAGTTAGAGATTCAGGCAGGAGCGCTGCACACTGGAGGCAGAATTTCTTCTTCTAGAAACCTGTTCCTCAGAAAGGCACAGCGCCTATGGGCATCTGATCATGCAAAATGAACTCCGAGAAGTGGAAACAAAAGGTGTGTGTCTTATTTCTGCTGTGTTTGTTTTCTTTTTGTTCTCGTTTCTATGTCTTTGGTTAGAGAGGCCTAGAAATGGAGGGACAAAAGGTAGACAAATGTAGCAATGGCACTCACTGGATACTATGTTGAAAATGAACTACACAACTTGTGGGTGGGAGATGGGAGGGAAAAACAGGGAGAGAGCCAGGCAAAGAGTAACAGTGCTCAAAAAGAAAAGTACTCTTTACCTGACTTCTGTAACTGTAACCCCTTTGTACAGTACCTTTCTGGTAACAATGAAAAACTTAAAAAAAGGAAGCCTGTTTCTCTTTTTTTGGTATTTTTTTCTTTATTGAGATTAAACGATTACATACATTTCACAGTATTGTGACATAGTGATACTTAGCTAAAGCCACACACACATTAACCTTCACCATGCAGATTGCCATTATCTTGATCTACGAAGCTTATGAACGCTACGAACTTTAACCATGAAACTATTGCTTCCAAGTCCGGTGACATGTACACTTCTTTCCTTTTGCTTAGTATCGGCAGTTCCCTCTTTCTCCTTCCCTCCCTCCCGTCACCCTACATGGGGTTTGAACTCAGGGCCCCCAAGGTTGCAGGGAGGGGAATGGCTTCAGGCTGCTTGCAAAGGAAGCTGGGAGGAGGCTGGGACTGGCAGTCAGTGGGTGAGCACTGGGTGGAGCTCTCCTGGCCTGCGAGAGCCAAGGGGAAGAGTGGGGGTCACCTGCCCTGGAAGCCACACCTGCTGCCTCTTCTTTCCTCCTCCTGTTTGCCACAGAGGAGAGGGGCTGGCAACCTACTTTGGCCATGTTGTAGCAAGGAAGTTTCCAGCTAGATCAGGGGTGGGACAGGATAAGGGGGGAGATGAGTGACTGGGACGGTCACGGAATCCTTTTCTTTGCTTCAAGTCTTTGTAAAATGAGAGGCCCCTCCACATGGAGCAAGACCCCTTCAGACACTGTGTTGGATTCAAGTCTCCCAGGGCCATGGGGAATTGCCCCTGTGAGCCAGCGCCCTTCCCCCCCACCCTGGCCTGAAGGGGGAGGGGCAGGACTGCAGCCACGGGGCTAGAGGCCTTGGACCATCCTGGGGGCTCACCCCAGACCCGGGAACCGGAGGTGTGGAAGCCTCGGCCAGCTCTGGCTCCACTCCGGGCTGGGGGCTGGGGGTAGATGGGTCAGAGCAGGCCTGCCCCGAAGGTCAGCTGATCCAATTACTTCACTGGGTCTTTTCAGCCCTCTGGTGCTAAGAAGTCCAGGAGATTCACCTTTGTTGGGGGGAACAGTACCCCCAAAGGAAGAGAGCCTGGGTTCCAATATATAGATGGGAAACCAATCTATCAGCCCCCCACTGAGCATTCAGCTGAATGAATACCTGTGAAATCAAAGCTCGCCTCTGTCTGGGAGAACATTTTGGAGCGCAGAGCCCTGCTTAGTCTGCTTAGATCTCTCTCTCTCTCTCTCTCTCTCTCTCTCTCTCTCTCTCATCATAGACTCTCTGCTCTGGGCAACCCAAACCCTTAGCACATATTTTTCCTGTTCACCGTTTACCCCAAATTCAAATGCTTTGCTTATCATCTCCTTTCCCATTAGACAAGTCCCCCAAGGCGTGTAAGAACTCATTCATGCCTTTGTGACCAGTCCCTGCCTGGATGTGTCACACAGCAGGAAGCTCACTAAATTCGCGTGCGTGAATGAGCCATGAGCACGGGTGGTCTGAGTGCCTTGTCAGTAGGACGGTCCGGGAGCTTGTGGAGCTGAGCGGTGAGGGTCTCTCCTATGGCTGGGAAGAGGGCCACTCTTCTTCCCACGCACCTTAAACCACGGGAGCCTGGTCCAGGCCTTCAGGACAACTGGGTGTGGCATTCTCCAGTGCCCATCTCTCTGGTCCCCGCTGACCCCTGATCACCACCAGACTGCCCCTCCTGGAGGTGTCCAAGAAGTTGCACACTGGCTCTAGGCGTGCTAGGACCCCATGCTTCTCCTTCTAGCACAGCTAGCATGGCAGCCCGGCTACTATGGAGGGAGACGTCAGCAATCGCTGCCAACCAGAGCCTTCTCACCAGGGAAGATCCGTGCTGAGCTTCCACTAGCACACCCTGGTCTACTATTTGCAAACCTCCTCCCTCCCTCTCTCCTTCCCTCAACTTTTCCCTTTCCCCAGTTATGTTAGCCAATTCCCCACCTACCCATCCATCCAGCCATCCACCTGTCTATCCATCCACCTGTTCATCTATCCACCTGTCCATCCATCCATCCATCCTTCCATCATTCCACTTCCACTCACCCGCATATCTATCAGCTGTACAAATATCCATCCCTTCATCCATTCCCATTCATATCTCTCTGACTTTCTTTTCTTCCTTCTGTTCATCCACTCACCCACCAAAAGCTTTCTGGGTATCTCTCTGTGTCAGCCTACTCCTAAGGCTCAAGGTAGTTCCCCAGATTTCTGGAAGGCAGGTGCAGGACTGGAAGAGGGCTGCCAGGTTCGGTGAGTACTGATATTGAATCTGAAATGAATCGCCGGCCATCCGTGTCCCCTCTCGTTTCCTCTGCTCTTTCTCTCCTAGTCTAGTCTCCCAGAGGAGCAGTGGGAGGGAAACGTCCCAGCATACCAGAACAGCCTTTCTCTCTCTCTCCCTCTCTCTCTCACCCCCCAGGCAAAAGCCCCCCCCCCACCAGAGCTGAGCCTGGCTTTCTGAGAAGGGGTTCCCCATCCTAGAAATCCCTGTGAGCTTGTGGGCAAGTCATCAGCAAGTCCAAACAAGAGGGGAGCTCGGGCGGGGCCTGAGGACAGAGCCCTGGGAAGGAGGGGAACACGGGTCATGCTCCAGTGCTTCCCACACCCCAAACACACACCTCCTCTTAAAACCCAGCTGCTTTGTGAGCCAAGCTCATCTCTCCCCTTGCTCCCAGGGCTGGGATGGCAAAGGATTAGCTGTTCAGCCAGGTTGAGCCGAGGGTGTGGAGTCTAACCAGGAGAAGGACAGAAGCCCACTCCTCTCCACATAGCCCAGGACCCGCCTCTCTGGCCACATCCACCGTCTGCCTACCCTCCCCTGTCCAGCCTGTCCTGTATTCAAGGGGGTGGGGGAGGGAGGCTACTTTTCTTCAGGGGCTGAGGATCCTAGGGTTTCCCCAGGGGGGCAAGGAAGAGAGGGCGAGGGAATGGCTATTTTTCTCCTGGTTTATCTGAGCTCGGGACTGTACTGGTATCTTTTGTGGAGGAGATTACCCGTGGTCTCATCTGGAGAATGTAGGCAGATTTTTTTTTTTGAGTCACATGACAAGTCAACCTTGAAAAGGGGGAGTTAGTGAGGATTTGGGGTGGTGGTTCCAACTCCTTGGCTGGCATGGCACAGATTCTCCCCCTCCCCTGTGCTGTGTCTCTGGCCTTGGGGTGGAAGCAGGTTCAGACCTGCTCTAGGAGACAGCTAGGGCCGGGCTGTGCCTTTCCAAGGCCACGGGACAGGAGAGGTATTCAGATGGTGTCCGGGCTCCTCAGCTGAAGAAGGGATGCTAGACTCTCTCAGGTCATGGGTTCAAATCCCTACTCTGGTACTGGATGGAAGCCAGTGAGCCATCTTCTTGGAGCTTTGGCTGCTTCATCTAGGACAGGATTGAAGATGGTCAAGCACGCCGGGCAGTGCCTGCAAGTTGGATGTGACCAACACCCCCATCACCTTGTCTCCTGAGATCTCTGTTCAAGGCAGCCCACGCTCCCGGGCTAAGCTTCCGCTGAGAAGCAGCCCCTCTGTGTGGGGTGGAGCCGCTCCTCTGAAATCAGACCGGCTAATTACAAGGCTATTTGGCTTGTGTGACCCAATTTGGGGCCGTCTGTCCTCTGGGCCTCTCTTCAGACACCTCATTTTCTGCCCCAGGGCCTTGGGGCTCAGCAAGGGCTGCTGGTCTGTGAGGACAGAGGACCTGCTTCCTGGGGGAGAAGGGAACGGATGCGTCAGTCGGAGGCAAGCAGCCTGGCTGGTTGTGGCGTGGTGGAAAATGATTACACTGAAGGAGGGGGTGGGGGGGATCACTTCTAAACCACCAGGCGGGGCGGGGTCTCACTGGCTGCTCTGCAGGCGGCAGGCCTCTCCCAGGGCCCGGCCGTGGCTCCTCCTCCTCGCAGGTGTGTCCCAGGTGTGTCTCTGGGGAACCTGTGGCCGCCTGCCTCACTCCCTGCCCGGACACCCACCGCGGCACCGGCCTGCAGCCCCAGCCGGCTCCACCAGCAGCCACCCCCAGCCACTTCGACATGGAAGGTACGGACGCATCCAGAAGCAACAGCTCGAGCCCTGACAGCAGGGACGCCCGCAGCCCCCCGGGCCCCAACGGCACGGTGGTGGAGAACGGCGGCGGCAGAGCCGAGGGCCCGGAGGCCAAGCCGGGCAGCAGCGGGCAGGGCGGGGAGGCGGCCCCGGGCCGCGGCGCGGGCAGCTCCCCGAGGGCGGCCGAGAGCCAGGGCGCGCTGTCCTCGGGCCCCGAGTGGCGCAGGCCCATCGTCCAGTTCGTGGAGTCCGGGGAAGACAAGGGCCCCAACTACTTCAGCATGGACTCCGCGGAGGGCAGGAGGTCCCCGTACGCCGGGCTGCAGCTGGGCGCGGCCAGGAAGCCCGTGGTCACCTTCGCTGACAAGGCCGAGCTGCGCAAGTCCATCTTCTCGGAGCCCCGCAGGCTGTCGGGGCCTCTGGCTGAGCCCGGGGAGGCCCGGAGGGGCAGCGGCCAGCGAGCCGAGCTGGGCACCCCGCCGCGGGCCGAGCTGGGGGGCCCCGGCGCCCAGGAGGTACCCTGCGACTCGTGCATCGGCCACAAGCAGCGCGCCGTCAAGTCGTGCCTGGTGTGCCAGGCCTCCTTCTGCGAGCTGCACCTCAAGCCGCACCTGGAGGGCGCCGCCTTCCGAGACCACCCGCTGCTTGAGCCCATCCGCGACTTCCAGGCCCGCAGGTGCCCCTTCCACGGCAAGACCATGGAGCTCTTCTGCCAGACCGACCAGACCTGCATCTGCTACCTGTGCATGTTCCAGGAGCACAAGAACCACAGCACCGTCACGGTGGAGGAGGCCAAGGCTGAGAAGGAGGTGACTGGCCTGGGAGGGGGGGACCCTCCTCTCCTTCCCTTTTCCCCGGGCTCCCCCCTGACCACCACCTGCACCTGGGGCACCCTAGCCTCGGTCTCCCTAGCTCCCTACCTTCCCTGTGCTGCGCTTGGCTCTTATTCGATTCTGTTATTTTATTTTTGTTTTGCTTGAACTCAAGGCTTGGGCACTGTTACTTTGTTTTGCTTTGTTACTTTTTTCCCCCCTCTCAAGGCTAGTTGGCGCCACAGCTCTACTTCTGGCTTTTCTTTCTTTTGAGTGGGGCGGGGGGGAATGGTTAATGGGAGATAAGAGTCTCATGGACTTTCTTACACTGGATGGCTTTGAACCTACATCCTCAGATCCTAGCCTCTTGAATAGTTAGGAAGACAGGCATGCATCACCAGCATGACTGGCTTATTATTATTTTTTTCTTTTTCTGCACCCAGGATGAGGGGTTCAAGGCCCAATCGTCTCAGATCTGATTCACAGATAATCAACTAAGGGCCTAGAAAAGGCTGGGGGAGCTTGACTCGGCCGAGACCCAACTATTCACCCACACTCTTGGGCGTGGCCCCCGGCTGGGGTGTCTGCTCTTGGTTGTTTTAAGGGAGAGAGCATTTCTCCTAACTGAGCAGGACTGGCCCTGGGAATGGGCTGGAGATAAGGGAAGATGCTAGATGGGGGGAGTTTGGGGCCGGTGACATGTCCCCGGTGGCTTGCGTTTGCAGTACAGTGACTGCGGGTTTCACCTGACCCCGGGCTGCTCCATTTCTCCCCCAGCCTCCTGCACCCCCCCTTCAGGAAGGGCCCCGGGGTGTGTGTGGCTGCAGGTGGACGCTGCTGGGGAGGGGTGCACACTGATGTGTGTTTTGTACGCATGTGGGTGTCTGTGAATGTGGGTGTTGGCATAGGAGGTACGTAAGGTGTTTGTGTGAATCTGGTGTATGCGCGGTGGAGGGGAGGCGTGGAGGCAAGTAGGGGCCTGTGGGCAGGACGTGCCCGGGGAAGGTCCCGCAGGGAGGGGCCGCGGAGGCTGTGTCCCTCCCCCCACACAGGCCGAGCCCACTCTTCCACACCTTCCTGGGACAAACCTTCCTGTTGGTCAATGCAGGGGACTCCACTTTCCACAGGTTTTGCAACCCCAGAGCAGGCTGGCATTGGGTCCCTCTTGGCCTAGCCAATCTCTCCCTCTCTCTCTGTCTCTTTCTGTTTGTACCTCACCTCCACCCTTGGGTAAGGAGGGATGAGTTAAAGATGACAACAGACAAAGATGCTTTCCAGAAGTTTCATGTTCACCCTTGACCGCCCCCATCTTCAAGTTTCATGGTGGGGGACATGGCTGGAGCAGGAACACAGGCTCACTTGTAAGGACCTTAGCTGGGAGTCAGAACGGAACAGCGGGCAGGCTTCATCGGCCACGATGAGGAGGCTGAGTGGGCCTCACTTACACAGGACTGTACTCCAGTCCTGGTTTTGCCTCCAACGAGCTGCTAGACAGCGGATGAGTGCCTTTCATTCCCTTAGTCACACTTTCCCTCTATGTGAGCTGGAGGGGTTGGGCTGTGGTTGGTTTTCGAGTTACCCCCATGGAATTCTAGGATTCTTGGGAAGGCCTTGGAGTCCTCGAGGTAAGGAGGGCTGGCAAAGAGGGGCCTAGAGGACAGAGACTCCAGGTTCCACCTCTCTTATAAGCCAGGCACACATACTGATCTACTTTGGTCCCAAATACCATCAGAATCTAGGGTGCTAACCATGGAAAGTTCTGAGTACCCAGGGAAGAGGCAGTTTTGGTGGGCAGCCCCATAGGAAGGCACCAAGAACTCTTAGGTTCACGTTCTGGTTTGAGAGTTTCTGTGGGGCTCAGGTAAGGCTTGGATTTGAGGATTTGAAATGTAGGACAGGAGGCAGACACACAGAGCTCAGACACAGACAAGACTGGAGCGCCCTCCCAGGGATGCAGAAGCTCTGTGAGTCAGCGTGGAGAGGACAATACCAGGCCTGGTGGAGCATTAGCCACGAGGCCTCCTTCTGCTCCCCATAGAGCAGAACACTGGCCCGGAGGAAGGAAGGGACTCGGCCAAGATGTTTGTTAGGAGAAGGGGCTCCTACTTCCTCCCGAGATGTGAGCTTTAGGAGAAAATGCTAGATCCACTAGAGTGATTGCATTCGAGGGAACTTGGGGCAGCCTGTGTGTGTGTGTGTGTGTGTGCATGCACGCGCGTGTGCACTGTGAGGAGAGGCAGGGAGGAGGGGGCTGAGAAGCCAGGAGATGAGCTGAAAGCAGTCTGTGAAGGCCCAGCTCTGCTCGCATGCCAGGCGCGGGGACACTGGGGCCCAGCCAGGATAGTGGGACGAAGAGCGATTGTGTCAACGCTGGCATCTTGTGGAGGCATCCTCTGCAGACCCAAACATCGGCCCCCACACAGCTTTGTCCAGGAGCCCAGGCAGAACCTGCTCTGCCGGCCCACGGGGAGGGCTGGAGGGTGGAAGCCCAGCCCTGTCTGGGTTAGTTGCACAAAGCTGATGATGACAGAATGCTGTGGGTGTTGATTTCCCCGGGCCTGTGCTCTTCCTACAGACTCTGAGTAGACTGTGAGTAGAGGCTATGCTAGGAGAAAGGTAACTTGGCTTGGCGGCATGACAGTGTCCTCTCCTCTGGTAAGACTCCAGGTCGCCATGCTTCCCCTCCTCCAAAATGTCAGAGGTGCACACTGGTCCCCCTCTGCCTCTGTGTATTTCCTGAGCTAGGTTAGGGTGCCGAGTCAGAAAGGACCTGTGTCTGAAGGCCCTCAGGACCTTACTCAGGTGGGCCACTAACTGCTCTGGGCAGCGCTGTCCTAGGTTGGCTCCAGCCTGGCCGCGGGGGGGGGGGTGGGGGGTCTATGGGGACACGGGGGGGGGGGGGGACAGCCTGATTGTCCTCCTTCCTGATGCTCACTAGAAAGGCTCAGCCTTGGTGCCTATCAGCGCTATCATCTGCCGCAGATCACCTCTCCCACCACAACCCGTGGCTTTGACTGTCATCTGATTTCCAGGAAGGCTGCTGGGCATGAGAAGCCATTGGTCCTTGAGTTTTCTGGCTCTTTAGGTAGACAGTGGGGGGGCTGAGATTTGGGAAGAGGAGGCAAAGGAAGGGCTGGGGTGCCCAGGAACAACTCCTTCCCCCCCTTAGGTTCTACAGGGAATACAGGGAGAATTCCCATTTCCTCTGGGACAGGGTGTGAGACTGGCATAGATGACCTGCTATTCTGGAAATAGCCAAATAAGAGAGGTTTACAGATCGGAAGCAGGACTAGGAGAGTGACTGGTAGGCGGGCGGGTGGTGGCAGGATCTCTCTGGAGCATGTCTGTGGGCTTGGCATCTGCACGGCCACAAATGAAGCTGTCCTGTGGGGGAGGGTATTGCACTTGATTAGTGCATAGAGACAGGTTCACCGATACCAGGAGACTTATACACGATCCGGCGCTTTCCTGGAGGACCAGACGGGTCTTCCTGTGCGCCTTGAGTCCAGGGTTCCCAAATGGCGGGCCTTAGGATGGAGTCACTAGATGATTTTGTTGAAATACAGATTTCAAGGCCTTTCCTAGGGAAGATTCTGGCTCAAGGGGTCCGAGCTTGCGGTCTATATTTTTAAGTCTCCCTCAGGGGTTCTAATGTGTGCCAGGGTGGGAATTAGAGATCTAGCCCCATTTTTCACAAGGAAACCGATGCCTAGAGAGGAAGAATGGCTTCCCCCTCGGTGCCAGGCTGGTATCTGACAGGTCCCAGCGGGCCCCTCCCTCACCTCAAGGCTGGGAGGGAGCAGAGACTCTAATCAAGTAGACGCACTGATGCTGGGCTGCTTGACGTCTGAGTGGAAACAGGGAAATCTATCCAGCATTTCAGATTCTTATCCAGATAATTACCATGTGACTAGGAGTACAAATTTGGCAATTAACTGGCTCATTTGGCAAATGTCACAGCCCAAGGCCCATGTAATTAATCCAGGCCAGGGGATGATGCCGGCCAGCCGACCCCCCTTTCCCTGGGGGACCACCATGTCCATGTGTCCACGTGTCCATGTGTCCGGGTGAGTCCTCAGGCAGGTCTACACTGGATGCCCAGTCGAGACTGAGCTGACAGAGCTGTGCCATCCCTCGGCTCTGAGGGACCTGTGTTCACTGACTGCAGGACGGTTTTCACGGCTGTGTGGCCCACGGAGGGCTGACAGAGAGGAGACGCACACACCAGACAGTGTGGGAGAAGGAACAAAGGGAGCATTTAGGGGCAGGCCTGGGCAGGGCAAAGGCAATCAGGAAGGAGGGGTGGAGAGGGGTGGGGTGGTGGAAGCTGAGGCCTGTCAGACACCAGGGGCTCCAATCACACTCCGTGGGAGGAGAGAGAGCAAGGTGGGGCCTAGGGGAGCAATAGAAGAGAGAGAATCTCCGGATTGTACCTCTGAGCCTAGGTGGGCTTAGATTTGCAGGGGTGAAGGGGAAAGTCAATGTGCTACAGGAGAACCTGGAGCCATTGCCCCCCAGCTGGCTCTAGCTCGCTCCAGCGGAGAGAGTCTTGTGGTTGCAACGGGCCTTGCTGCTTTCTTTCTCTTCATGAGGTCTCAGGATCTTTCTAGACCTGGGTCTTTGAAGCTGGAAAGCGGGCTAACACTCCTGGCCTTCCCAGGTGTGTTTACTGCTTGAAGCATTTGCTGGTAGACACTCTGTGACTTCCTTCCTCCTTTAGAATCTTCCCAGGTTCTACGATTTTCTGCACCAGAAAATCTAACCAGAACTAAGTGGGTTCAAGGCTCCTCCCTAAAGGCCTGAGCCCCAGCCCCCCTCCACACCCAGGACTCATCTTGGGGACGAGGGGCTGTAGCACAGAGCCCAGGTGTTCTGCAAGTCTGATCCTGCCAGCTGTGGGTAGCAGGCCCCTCCCAGACCAGGTCCAACTTCTTTTGTGCCCCAGAGAAAAGGAGGGCCAGCTCTCGGCCTCCTGGACCCACTCTTCCACCCACTGCCGCAGACAGCCTGACTCCACGTTTGCCCTTGCGCGTGTCCAAACCGGCCGCCTCTCCTCCACTCCTCCCAGGCTGCTGACTGAGATCGCTCCAGACCCAAGCTGGCCAGCTGCTCCCTTCCTTCACTCTCATACACAGGCCTGACTCTCTCGTGAGCCTAGATGCTTCATGGTCTAAGCACCCCTGGATTTGGTCCCATATACTCAGTACCTTCCCTTTCCCTCTTGACCCAGTGAATCTGTGTTGCCCAGGCGCGGCCTTCTCTTACCTGCGGCTGACCACACACCTCCCGACAGGTGTCCCTTTGGATAATGCAGCCATTCCTAGCCCTTCATGCTTTGGCCTTCTCCTTCTCTAGTCAAAACCTTCCCCACTGTTAGGGGTTTAAGCCCACCCGCAGCCCCCTGCCTGCCTTGCCTAGATGGCCCAGGAGAGGGGTGAGGGAGAGCAGGGCTTCCTTCCCCAAAGCCATCAGGTTACTCTAGTGACGGTCGGCTCCATGGCCCTGGGGAGCCCAGCCACCCCTCTGCACTTCGGTGGGGTGCCTAGAGGTGTGTGGAGTGGTGATAGGCCCGGCTGCTCAGGACTCCTGGGCGATGGAGCCCATGGTTCTGGAGGTCTGTGCATCCTTCACCTCCGCCCGCTTCTTGTGGATGCCTCAAGGAGACAGCTAGAGGAAGGGGTGGGATTCTGCATTCACAACCCAGCCATGGGGCAGGACGGGGGTCTCTGAGCAAACCAAGACTTTCTCGGCTGCATTGCCATTGCTGCCTGTTGGGTGAAGATGGGCGCTTGCCTCCTTCTAAGCTGGAAGGGCGGCGGAAGTTTCAGAGAGGAGCCCAGTGACACTGAAGCTGTGTCTTTGACTTGACTGAATGCAGTTGACTTTAGCTTTATGTCTCTCATTCTTTTTTTAAAAGATTATTGTTATTATAAAGGTGCTATACGGAGGGGTTCCAGTTACCTACGTCAGGTAAAGAGTACATCTCTTCCCTCGCTCTCTCCTAGATTTTCCCTTCCATTGCCCATCCACAAGTTGTATAGTTCATTTCCAATGCAGTGTTCACTGCTGCATTTAACAACAAGCAAAGAAAACAAAAACAGCAAAAAAGGGAAAAAATCTCCTTTGTTTTCATTCCCTGGAGTTCATTTTGGTGAACATTATTTTGTGTGATCGGAGGTACAGAGGCCTTCTGCCTTTCTGTTCCTCTCCTAAGAGCACCCCTGTGGTCTCTCACTGTGTGTGAACGTCTAGAGACCTGTATATTTTATTACATCCATGTATGTTTTAGATCTGGCTTCTCCCTGTGAGAGAAATATGCAATTCCTCTCCCTTTGCTTCAGTGACAGCAGCTTTTCAGAGAAGGGCCTCGCCCCTCACAGAATGCACAGTGTCTGTCACCCAATCTTCCAGTGTAATCTGGAAATGGCCCACCCCAGACCCCTGCAGTGTGCGTGGCCCCTGAGCCGGAGTGTTAGGCCCTTACCCTCTAGTCTTCCTCCCCAGACACCCTGGGCGAGAGCCCTCATCTTGCTGAATCTGCGGGTGCAGTCTCCTTTCCCATAAACAGGTTTATAGCGGAGCCTGCCCGGACGGAGCCCATGCCAGCGGCAATCCTGGCCTCTGCTTTCAACACAAGCCCCACGTCATTCCACAGTAACGCTGCATGCTGTGGCTGCTATGGACACTCCCTGGGCTGGGCTGGGCTGGGCTGGGCTGAGGTCTGCCCTCTCCCCCCATCAAAAAAAGCAAGAATCCCACCAACCAGCCTCCCGCTTGCTCAGGAGGGAGGTCTAGTGCCTATGAAGATGTTGTCAGGAGCTTGGAGATCTATCTAACTGTTGTCAGAATGGAGAGGTGCTGAGCCTACCAACAGTTTGCTTCTCCAGTGGGCCCACAGCCTGGGGCCTGGGGGTCTGGTGCTGGTCCCTGTCTTCCCCGCTTGACTTCTTCCTCTCCCCCTCCTGCAGACGGAGCTGTCGCTGCAGAAGGAACAGCTGCAGCTCAAGATCATCGAGGTGGAGGATGAAGCGGAGAAGTGGCAGAAGGAGAAGGACCGCATCAAGGTGAGCCCTGGGCTCCTGCTGCGCCCTCCTGTGGCTCCTGGCAGGAGGCAGGCCGGGGCTCCTGCTGACCACACTCTGTGGATTCTCCCACCCCCTTTGGGGTTCCTACCTTCTCCCCTTCTCCATCCTCACCAGGCATCCTGGTGAGCGCTTTCCTGTCACCTACAGCTCACTTGATTCCATCACAGCTAAAGAGATGCCTGGCCAGGCCAGGGCACCGGAGATGCCCTCATTCTGTGTTCGGAACCCAGAGATGAGCTTCACTAGGGAGAGCTCCGTCCACTCCTTACTGAAACCCTTCTTTGTCCCTGCCCTGCTTCTGATCCTAGAGCTTCACCACCAATGAGAAGGCCATCTTGGAGCAGAACTTCCGAGACTTGGTGCGAGACTTAGAGAAGCAAAAGGAGGAAGTGAGAGCTGCCCTGGAGCAGCGGGAACAGGATGCCATGGACCAGGTGAAGGTGATCGTGGACGCTCTGGACGAGAGGGCCAAGGTGCTGCACGAAGACAAACAGACCCGAGAGCAGCTGCACAGCATCAGCGACTCTGTGCTCTTTCTGCAGGTAATGGCATACCACCATTCAACCTCCATCCTTCCTTCCCATCCACTTTCCCAGACCCCCATCCATGCATGCATGCGTGCATCCATCTGTCTGTCCATTCGTCCATCCATGCATCTATCCATGCATGCGTGCATCCATCTGTCTGTCCATTCGTCCATCCATGCATGCGTGCATCCATCTGTCTGTCCATTCGTCCATCCATGCATCTATCCATGCATGCATGCATCCATCTATCCATGCATGCGTGCATCCATCTGTCTGTCCATTCGTCCATCCATGCATGCGTGCATCCATCTGTCTGTCCATTCGTCCATCCATGCATGCATGCATCCATCTGTCTGTCCATGCGTCCATCCATGCGTCTATCCATGCATGCGTGCATCCATCTGTCTGTCCATGCGTCCATCCATGCATGCGTGCATCCATCCATCCTATCATTTAATTTTCCACCCACTCTACTCCCCTCCTAAAGATGGAGGAACACGAATACCACCTTGTACTAACTTCCATAGGGCCCAGTAGGGCCCCAGGCTCAAATCAGAGGGAGCTCTGTGATTGATTAGTATTGTCTGCTCTGGGGTGATGCCTGAGTTCCGCCTATTTATTATCTTTGATCTAGTCCATTTGTCTATTCACCTATCCATCTTTCTGTCCAAGAGAATATTTTGGGTCCTCCTGGGTGCCCCGTACTCTATTAGGTGCTGTGGTAAATAGAGTAGTCTGAGACATAGTCTGCCCCCAAGCAGCTGCAATCCAGCTGGGAAGATAAGGCATGTACAATTAAAGAACAATACAGGAAAGTGTGTAATTAAATGATAAAGCATGTGGCTCAGGAGATAAATGCCTGTGGAAATGCGGAGAAGGGCGAGCGGGCAGGAAAAGCGAAGGGCAGCTTTGTGGAGATGGAGTTTCTGTGGGCTCTTCCAGGCCACTTGGAGGGAGGAGGAGAAAGAGGGATGGAAGGGAGTTGAAGGGCACAGAAGTGTAGACAGGATTGAGAGAGATGTGGAAAGGTGGAAATACCTAGAATGCTCTAGAAAGTCCTATATCTCTTTATAGTTTCACCCCAGATTCTTCCTAGCCTGTGTCATTTGCATACCCCCCCGCCCCCACTTCAGAGATTGGGAGTCATGGAGTCATAGATCAGATATTAAGCATCCACTGGCTTTTAGTTGGACCTTTTACCCAGGAAGGAAAAGCAGGTCTAGAACCCAGTTCCCTTGGCTCACAGCCCCGTCTTCCAGATGAGCTGTGAGCGCCCCCTTGTAGACAAACAGCTGGAAGAGACTCAGGAAGTGAACGGCTTCTTTTCTCCCTTGATAGGAGTTTGGTACACTGATGAGCAATTACTCCCTTCCCCCATCCCTGCCCACCTACCACGTTCTGCTGGAGGGGGAGGGCCTGGGGCAGTCCCTTGGCAACTTCAAGGATGACCTGCTCAATGTGTGCATGCGCCACGTGGAGAAGATGTGCAAGGCAGACTTGAGCCGGAACTTCATCGAGAGGAACCACATGGAGAACGGTAGGGGCCCTCTGATTCCCTCCCTCTCTCTGCCTCCCCCTCTCCCCCTTCTCAGTGGTTCTGGGGATTGATCCCAGTCCTCTCCTAAGTCAACTCCTCATGCCTGGGACAGGCTGGCATGTGTAGCTGGCATGGCCCGTTGCCGTTCCCACAATCCTCTACTTGAGTGTACCATGGACTGGGATTTGGGGGTTGCAGCCCCATTGGACTTGAAGTTCAACAGCTGAGTGCCGGTCCTGCCTGTACAGGCCAGTCTCCAAGCGGGCGGCTCTGCAGTCTCCAGGAGAAATGACCTAGAATGCCACCTGTGGCCCGAGGGACGGCTTGTGTGTCACCCTAGCTGTGACGGGTGGTGTTGAGCCCAGAAGTTGGGCTGGGCTGGGGATGATGGGATAGAGTGTGTCTCTGACTCACCAGCTCTGCTGAAACCAGCCCCTCCTCTGAGCCAGGCTGTCCCTGCAGAGGTCAACTGAGTCATCTTCCAGAAAGCCCTGGAACCTGAGAAACTGCCCCGTTAAGTCCTTGCCCCTCAAGTCTCTCTAGGGCCTGAAGCCCGAGCACTTTCCCCAAAGCTCCACCCGTGGCCCGGGCTCAGCGAAACGTCTTTAGAACACGGCCTGATTAAAGTCTATTGGCCACCAACGCCCCAAGGCGATGTCCCTCTCTGGTCTCCGGGTGGAGCACGTGACTCTCGAGGGGTCTGGGGGTGTAGAGAATGACCAGTCAGGGCCAGCTCTGTGAAATCAGAGTCCTCAGGAAATATGGGGGACATTCAATCACCCCGAAGGACAGATAAGCCACTTCAGCAAGACAATCATTTGGCTTTCAGTGGCACTCAGACCCTGGCAACCTCTTCCTAAGGACAGCGTAATGATTCTTATGAGGATGGCAAGCTGCGGAGACCGGGTGCTCCCTGGACGCCGGGCATTGTGCTGAGCTCTTGGCTTACCTTGTTTTTCTCTGAGGGAGGCAGGGAGCATCTTACAGAAGAGAAGGCTGAGGCTCAGGGAGAGAGGCATCTTTGCAGAGGATGCTGCCATGCTGGGTGCATAGCAGGGGGAGGGAAGGGCTGCTAGTCATCCTCAGAGAGTCCCCCCTGAGGCCTAGCCAGACCTGGGACGATGGCGCTAACTGGGAGTGGGAGCCTTTTAGGAGCCATCCAGTCTCTGGGCTGGTCACAGCGCCGTTTCTAGGTCACAGCCTCCATCCAGCTGTGGCCCTGCATCAGGTGCAGGGTGTGTGCAGGGCTGGGCACTGCCCTGACCTGTGTCAGGGACGCTAGGAAAGCCTCTTTTGCTAATGCAACGTCCTGTCTGTCCTTGCTGCCTGGTGGCTAGCAGTGGTGGCAGATGGTGGGCAGGGGTGGCCCATCAATCAGACCTTGGAGTGACCTTGTGCTGTTCGCTGACGGCCTGGTTTTCTGCATTGGGGGATCCTTGGCTCTCCCTAGGTGGGGCTGAGGGTGAGGTCGCAGTGGGTCAGCTTGTCTCTCCCCCCCCCCCGCAACCCCTGCTGACCTGGCCTCTGAACTTCCCAGGTGGTGACCATCGCTACATGAACAACTACACCAGCTACGGGAATGAGTGGAGTGCTCCAGACACCATGAAGAGATACTCCATGTACCTCTCGCCCAAGGGTAAGGGTGAGCCCCAGGCCCACGCGCTGACTCAGCTGGGTCCTTCCTCCCGGGTGGGGCAGCTGGCTCACCTCTACCATCCTGGGAGAGTCTGGGCATGTGCAAGGTGACCAACGGTGTCTCCTTTCACTGTCAGGGTGACAGGTGTCCTGGTTTAGATGTGAACAATCCAGCATTCCTCTGCCCCTCTAGGACCTCTCTTCTCAGGCTTAGGAGCCCTGCCTGCCCTCCTCTAGCCCTCTATCCTTCAGGAGGTCTCTGGGCCTCCCCTCTGCCAGTGCTGGGCTGTGTAGAGCATTAGCTTAGGTCCTGAAGAATCCTGATCTCTGGGCCACCACCTCCAGGAACCTCTACTCCTCCTCTGGGTTTTTGACCTGCTCCCCAGCTCCCCAGTCCCCCTTCCGAGTCCCAGCCTACTGGGGCCTCATGCCTCCTGGAAAGTGCTCTGCCCCTTGAGCCATGCCCCCAGTCCTCTGCTAAGCCAAGTCCTGCTACCCAGGACAGGCTGGCACAGCCCATCGCTGCTCCCACAATCCTCTACTTGAGGGTGCCTGGACTCGGATTTGGGGATTGTGGCCCTGTCGGAACTGTTCAACCGCTGTGTGCTGCTCCTGCCTATACGGCCCAGTCTCCACGCTGCCGGCTCTGCAGTCTCCAGGGGCAGTGACCGAGAATGTCACCGGTGCCTCTGGGGAGGGCTTTGTCACCATAGCTGGGGTCCAGGCCGGGGCCTCCCTGCCCTTGCTCTGCTACCGTAAATTCTTGGGTGCCAGCAACAAACCACAAGTGTAAGGGGGAGCCAGGGGCCAGAGATGGGGGGAGCGTGGAGAGAGGGGCAGGGGGGAAGGGAAGCGAAGGGAAGGGAAGGGAGGAGACCTGGGAAGGCTCAGGGCTAGGGACAGGGGCAGAGGCCCTCAGCTGTCACCCATGGGGCAGGATGCACCCACAGGGGGAAGGCCTGGGAATCTGGAGGGTGAGCTTCCTGGGGAGGAAACCCCTGCACCCCACCTTTGAACACAACACCTGTGCCTCCCAGGTGGCCTGAGGCGGGGGTGCCAGCCCCCTTCTCTGACATTCCTGGTGTGGGCCGGTCCCCTCATCAGCCAGCTGCTCCTTGGTGGCATCTTGCCCTGGGCGTTGTCCCTTTGGATGAGTGAGAGGGTGAACTATACTCATCAGCACACCAGTACTCTAGTCACGGAACCCCAGCTGGCCCCTTCGTCCCCCTTAACCCCCAAGAGGCTGGCAGTTACAGGTGGCTCCCGTAGGGGAGATGGGGAGCCAGTGTGGCCCCACGGCGGGCTGCCGGGAGTCCGAGGGCCTGGGTGGCCTGGGGTGGTCCTTGCCCCCTTTAGCTCTAGTGCCCCTCCCCCAGAAGAGGCGGAGGGCCTCCGTGGCCACAGCTTCCAATGACATTTGTAGGTGGAAGAAACTGGTTTCTCCCTGCCTGGCCACCCACTCCTCTTCCCTCCCAGAGTCGGGGAGAGAAGGGGCAGGGAGGGGCTGGGGAGAAGTGTCCAGAGCTTGGAGACTGGGCCATTGGAGGCCACCAGGTGCTGAGCCCAGGAGCTTGGGGTCCTTGGGATGGGGTGATGGCTGTGTCCCCACCTTGGGAGAGGGCAGAGGGTGAGGAGGTGGAGGGCAGTGTGGCAAATGGAGGAGCTGCAGACTCGGGGTTTACAGGGAGGACCTGTGGGTGCTGGGTCCCATTTGGGGATGGGATGTGGGAAGTTTGGGTGAGTGGGGAAGAGCTGGTGGAGCGTCCTGACCCACGGGCGCTTTGCCTTGCACACCCATGAGGTGGGTGTCCACTTCACCCCCTTCTTCACGGGCCGTGTGGAGCCCAGTGGGGGAGGGCAGGAGGCTCCGACGGCAGCCATGTTTCCCAGTCCACCTTGGCAGCGGGGACGTGTCCCTGGCTGACCCATTGGCCACCTGCAGATGACTCAGCCCTCACTGGGCCCAGGGCCCAATGCCTCGGTCCCCACCATCGCCACGGTCACTTCTTCCTAAGTATCCCTTTTCTAGTCCCAAGTCTCATTCACATGGGGGTTGGCTCAGGAGGAAATTGTTGGCTTGTCAGCCTTCTGGGGACCCCCAAAATGTCCTACATAGAACAATTGTACATCTTCATTATCCAGGACTGTCCAGGTGAGGTGGTCTGGGAGCAATGATTGATGGAGTACTTCCCCCCCAAAAAAAAACCCTTCCCCATTTGGCTATAAGTTGCAAGAGCACCTTCTACTACACCAGTACTACAGTACAGTCCTCTTGTGGGTACTTGAGTGCGAAGCTCCTCCAAGCCAGAGGCCATGGGTCCCCGGGGCGCGCCCACCTTTGTACAATGATGGGCAATCTTGCTCTGCCCCATAGGTGGGGCCCGGTCATCCTACCAGCCATCTTCTCCCGGCCGCCTCTCCAAGGAGACCAACCAGAAGAATTTCAACAACCTGTACGGCACCAAAGGTAGAAGGGCCTCAGGTGGGGAGCAGGAGGAGGAGTGGTGGGGGAGGCGGGGCTGGGCCATGGCTTGAGGGGGCACCAGACGCCCCAGGAGGAGACCTGGGTGAGGAGCTGGGCAGGGGGGATGCCTTTGAGCTCATGGTGTTGGCGTGTGTGCAGAGGGCCGGGCCGCGTGCGTGATGTCTTTACTCAGCTTCATGGGGAATCCCCGTGTCCAGCAGGCTAACTGTCTCTGAAGGTGGGTCTGGGAAAGTAAGGGGAATGGCTACTCTGGGGTTAGTTCCGGGGATCCTTCCCAGCAACTACTGGATTAAGGACGCACCGAAGACTCCGCTGGTTCGTGTGCCTCTCTGTTGGGAAGTTATACGGCGCTTCCTCGTGCCATAGCTTAGCTATGAAAGGAAAGGCAGGCAGGGGCAGGTTTGTCCCGCCCGGGACACAGCAGCGGAAGGAGTCTATGGCAGGGGAGGGAGGGACGGAAGGGCCAGGCCTCTGGCCTCTCCTGTCTCGGGGCTCACTGAGATCCTCCTCGGGGTCCTCTGGGATGGAGCATGTTCTGGGGGCTCATGGCCAACCCCAGCCCTTCCTAGCCACTGACCTCCATCTTCTTGGGGACCTCTGGCTTCCTGGGCAGATCTTGAGTCAGGAGCTACCCAGGGCTCCAGGCTGCTGGGGCTGGAGAAAGGTGTCTCACTTCCCGGGGGGCGGCTCTGAGACTCTGGCTTCAACATCCTCCTGATGTCCTGCGTCCCTCCCACCGTCACCCCTCCACCAGCACCTCCAGACCACAGGGCCACCCTGCACGGGGTGGGGGGAAGGGGGAGGGTGTGTGTGGCTCACACTGCCTAGGGGAGGGGCTGTGGAAGGTGACTCACCCCATGATTGCTGAATGGGGGAGCAGGGGGTGTCCCAGGTGATTCTGGGTCCAAAGCCCGGGAGAGAGAAGGGAGGTGGAATGCTGAGGGGCTGGAGGGAAGCAGGGCAGTGGGTGGGTGGGGGCCGCTCCCATGAGACTGTGTGCCATGATAACGATTTGGCTTTCTGTTCCGAGGCCGGTGAGCTGTGAGTGGTACAGGGGCAGGGCTGCGCTTTGTAACCTTGTTTGGTTGGTTTGGTCAGTACTGGGGTTTTAACTCATCCAGGGCTGTGTGTTGGCCTGGCTTGTGTCTTCTCATTTGAGTCACATACCTCCCGCCTGGCTTTTTTGCTGGTTATTTTGGAGATGGAGTCTTAGGGACTTTTCTGCCCGGACTGGCTTCACGTTGTGATCCTCTGGATCTCAGCCTCCTGCATCGATGAGGACAGGCGAGAGCTCCCGGCTTACATTTCACAGATAGCAGCAAAGACGAAGGAGGAGCAAGGTTCTTGGCTAGAGAGGTAGCAGGACGGAGAGAGCTCCAGGATGGGCCCCATGTGGGTCCTGCAGGCCTGCCTGGCCTCTCCTCTTCCAGCTCTCCCTGGGGGTCCTGATGCCTCCCCCCTCCTTTTCTTTTGCCCTGCCAGGTAACTACACCTCCCGAGTCTGGGAGTACTCATCCAGCATCCAGACCTCCGATGACCACCCCACTGTCCAAGGCAGCTCCTCCTTCTCCCTGAAAGGTGAGCTCTCCCCCTGCCGCCCTGCTTTGGTCTCTGTGCTGTCCTTCCAGGAGATGAGAGCCCGGGCTGGCCTAGGGCAGGGGTGGGGGCTGGGCCCTGGCCTTTCTCAGGGCCCCTGGGACCACCTACGGGTCCCTTCAGTGTGCTCTGCAAACAGGGCTCAGAAGCAGGACAGGGTACCCCCCTCCCCAAGCCCCAGCCACCGCAGGCCCAGCCTTTTACATCTTCTGCTGGATTTAACTTTGCCCTCCTGGCATCTTCCTGCACTGGTGGACTGGAGCGCAGGCCACTAGCACCTCTCAGAGCCTCATTGTGGAAGCCGCTTTGGGCTTGAACTCAGGCAACCTGGAAGGCCTCACAAGTCTCAGCCTCCTTTTCCCACGCCTGGCCCCCTCCTGACCTGCGGGGGTGCCCAGAACTCTTGGAACAAGGCCAAGTGGTCAGTGCCTGCTGTCCCCCCGGGGTTGAGGTCACTCTGGCCCTCACATCTCTCCCCATAGATTCAGCTTGGGTGAACTGGGGTAGCGGGACCCTGTCTCCCCTGGTCTCAAAATATCTGGTCTGAAAGGAGAGGTGGGATGCTGGGTGCCTAGGGAGGAGGAGGAGGAAGAGGAGGAGGAGGAGGAGGAGGAGGAGGAGGAGGAGGGGAGGGGATGTGGGGGGGCAGATGGACTCCAGCACTGGCCTTTCTGGGTCATCCTGCCCCTCTACTGGGCATGGGACTCCTGCATGGCTGGCCAGGGAAGGAGAAGGGACTAGAAGTAGGGGGTTTGGGTCTGCAGAACACTGGGGAAAGCTTTGCCCCCAAGTCAAGAGTGGGAAGCTCCAGGGCATGTCTTGGCCTATCTGGCTTCTGGAAGCTTCCTCCCCTGGCCCCTAGGCAACTCCTTAGTGGCCTGCCTAGACCAGTTGGTCCATGGCCTTGGGGCTCTGCTCAAACACTGTGCTTAAGGAAGTGCCCTGAATGCTGGAGCTGCAGATGGCTTTGGCCGCAACCGTCCTGTGTGCAGGGAGGACCCCCGAGCCCACCTGCACCCCTCCGGTGGTGCTATAGGTGGAGAGCATGCTGGGACTTCCCAGACAGCTCCGGAGGCTGAGCAGGGCTCAGAGCATGGAAGCCAGGGCACAGTCCCCCCCCCCCAGGTGTGCAGGCCTCAGCCTCCTGGATGGTGCATGTGGCTAATGCCTCTCTCTCTCCCAGCAGGCACTGGGCAAACCCCCTATCAGTTCACCACCTTGGGACAGGCCACTGCTGAGTTTTCCAAGCCACTGGACCGCAGTGGGCTGTTTAAAAATAATCCTGGTACCTCCCGTTTCCCGCTCCTCCCCGCTCCTCTCCCACAGCAGGGCAGACATCCCGTGGGGGCCTCTCTGCCACTTCTAGGGTGTCCTGGTCCCTCCTCCCCAGAGCCATCCCCCCCCTCCGCCGCCACCCCAGCTCACTCTGTCTGGACTTCCGCCTGCTGCCCAAGGCCGGTCTTCTCGACCATTCCATCCCCATCTTCACCTGTCATGGCTGGCATGGGATTTTCTTTCTGGGAAAGCAGAGGCAAGGACTCTCCATCTCAAGCCAGGGCTGGAGGAACCTCCTCCCAGGCTGCCCTGCACCCTCGGGTGCAGGGGAGAGCCCTGGGGTCCCGGCTCTGTCTTCCCACCGCCGCCTGGCCGGGTGCTGCACTGGCCTGCGCCCACAGCAGCCTTGCGTAGAGCAGGGAAGGGCAGAGTGTCTCAGATAGGCCACAGCCTTGCTGGTCAGGGAACCAGCCAAGGACGGGCCCTGGCAAGTTCTCAGGCTTCTCAGCCTCTAGGTCACGGCTGATCGTTTCCCAGTCTGTGCCTGAGGGTAGATGGCTTGCGCGGTGTGGTTTTTGCGGCTCTGTGGACAGATCCTTGTGTACTGAGGGAGGCCTGGGGCCGTGGTGTGTCCCAAGCCCAGAGTGTGCTTCCTGTTCAGGGCTCGGGGCTCTGGGCTCCGGCCTGGCCATCTCAACCCTGGGCAGCAGCCACACTGGCAAATCACTGTTCCTCTCCACCCCCATTTCTCTAATGAGACGGGGGAGACAAGCAGAGGAACACGTGGGGGGGGGCACGTGAATGTAAGTGTGTGTGTGTGTGAGTGTGTGTGTGTGCATGTGTGTGCATGTGCTGGTACAGGGGCTTGAACTCAGGGTCAGGGCACTGTCCCTTAGCTTTGTCTCTCAAGGCTGGCACTCGACCACTCGAGTCACACCTCCATTTCTGGCTTTTTAGTGATTAATCTGAGATAAGAGCTTCATGGATTTTGCTGCCTGGCTGGGTTTTGAACCGTGATCCTCAGATCTTAGCTTCCTAGGGGATGACAGGCGTGAGCCCGTGGTGCCTGGCAAGAGTATGAGTTTTGGAGTCTGATGAAGCCTGGCTTCAGATTCTGCTAGCCACCTACCAGCTGTGCAGCTGAGGCGGACTGCTGAGCTCAAGAGAGGCAGGGCACGGCTAGGCCCTGGCATGGTGCTTGGTACAAAGCTGGGCTCAGAAAGGAGAAACAGAGGGCTGGGAAGGGGGCTCAGTGGTAGAGTGCTTGCCTAGCATGCATGAAGCTCTGGGTTCCATTCCTCAGTACCACATACACAGAAAAGGCCAGAAGTGGAGTTATGGCTCAAGTGGAAGAGTGAAAAAGCTCAGGGCCAGTGCCCAGGCCCAGAGTTCAAGCCCCAGGACTGACAAAAAGGAAAAAAAAAAAGAGAAAGAAATGAGAAGCAGAGTCAGGAGCACCTCCTGCTGGGGAGGGATCCTGTCAGGAAATGCTTAGAAGTCACTCTTTGGGGCTCTGGGAAAGAGGGGAGCCCACAGGGGACCCACAGGGTGAGTGTGTGGCTGTCCCTGCATCCCAGCTGTCCAGTGCTGATCTGGCCGGTCCCTCTGGCCGGTCCCTCCTCCTGTCTGCCTCGCTGCTCCCTCCCTTTGGTTTCCAGTCGCCAGTTGCGGCCCGGCTGCTTGCATGCCTCTTCAGCTGGCTGCACTCGGTACTGGGCTAGATGACGCTTGGGGGTGTCTATGGGGTAGGCAGCTGTGCTGGGAGCCCCCCAGGGGGTCCCTGACCACCAGCCCCTGGCTCCTTCTGACCAGCCTTTGTCTCTCCAGGCTACCCCTCTCTCATGCGGAGCCAGGTCCCCAAGGCCCAGCCCCAGACTTGGAAACCTGGCAAGCAGACCCTGCTGGTGAGTAGGGCTGCGGGGACAGGGTCCCCAGAGGCCAGAGCACCCCGCTTCCCTCGCGCCGGTGGGAAGAATCTGACTCCTTTGGGCCACGTGGTGGGGAGGGAAGGGATGAGCGGCGGCTGGAATGTCTGCATGCAGCGAAGGCGGGGAACCGGGGTCGGTACACACTGGGCCTCAGTGTTCTAACCTGAGTAAGCACTGGGTAAGCCCTGTGCAAGAGGCTATCGAGCGCCTGTGGCTGGTGGTGCTTGGTCCTGAACTCCTCTGGGATTATGAACTTCTCAGTCCAGGAGATGGGCGTCCTGGAGATGGACTCCCCCACCCCCAACCCCTCCTCCAGGAGTAGCTTTCTGGTTCTGGGAGCAAAGACATTTTAGGCAACAGGATGGGGGCAGGGAGGCCGGAGCATTAGAAATCCGGAGCATTAGAAATCCGTATCAAATGAAGTACCACGAGGCCCAGGCCACCTGCTGGCTGTGGCACACTGAATGAGCCACAGACCCTCTTTGGGACTCTGCGTCTTCATTTTTCATGATGTGGTATTGAGCCAGGTGTGGGTGGCTCATGTCTATATTCCTAGCCACTCAGGATGCTGAGATCTAGAGGATCTCAGTTTGAGGCCAGTCTGGGCAGAAAAGTTCACTAGACTCCAAAATAACCAACAAAAAGCTAGGCTGGAGATGTGGCTCAAGTGGTAGAGCACCAGCTGAGTAAGTGCAAGGCCTTGAGTTCAAATCCCTCTACCACCAAAAAAAAATATGAGTGCTTAGACAAAGTGATCCCCATGATCCTTTAGATCTGATGTGTCCAACCTCTGCCCAGGACCGCAGTGACCAGGACCGTCACCTGCAGTGTCTCCAATGCCCGCAATGCTTCTCTCTGGAGGTCTAGGCCACAGCCGGGACCCTGCCAAGTGTAGCAGAGGCCTGAGCCCTTGCCTCCCACAGTCTGCATTTGGAGGTCAGAGTATGAGGTCATTGGCTCCGGACCACAAAGAGGCCGGGGCTGGCTTAATTGGAAACAATCTTTAATCTGAGGGCAAGCAGAGCTAACTAACCGTGTGTAATTTGGAGCCTGGCCCAGGGGTATTGTATCAGCAGGTCTGCAGGAGGCAGCTATGGGAGGGAAATGGGGGTTTCTGCTGAGGACTCAGCCCTTCTCATCCCTGCCATGTGTCCCTCCCCCCTAGACCTGGGACCGACAGAGCAGGCTCCCCCCCCCCCGCCCCAGACCCTGGCAGGGCAGACGCAGGTGCCGTGTATTTGACCTCTGCTTTAGTTTGCCCACCTGTAAAATGAATCGGACGGCTTAGATGATTGCAGGGCCCTTAGAACTTTGTTTTGAGGTACTAAGGTTGCAACTCAGGCCTCTTCAGGCATACCTCCGGCCGGGCTTTTTTTCTTTTCTTTTCTTTTTCTGTCGGTCATGGGGCTTGAACTCTGGGCCTGGGCGCTGTCCCTCAGCTCTTCAGCTCAAGGCGAGCGCTCTACCACTTGAACCACAGCGCCACTTCTGGTTTCTTGTGGTTCATTGGAGATAAGAGTCTCACAGACTTTCCTGCCTGGGCTGGCTTTGAACCGCGATCCTCAGATCTCAGCCTCCTGAGTAGCTAGGATGACAGGCGTGAGCCACTGGCGCCGGCTTGTTGGTTATTTCTGAGATGCAGCCTGGCTGTTTTTGAAGGAGATTCTCCAGATCTCAGCCTCCTGAGTAGCTAGGATTCTGAGTGTGAGCCTCTGACACCTGGCTCCTTTATGACTTTTGACCTTGAGCCTGAGAGGACAGGAGGGTGATGGACAGGCCGCCTGGAGGCCGCTGCCCTGTGACCTCTCTCGCCCACCATTCCAGGCCTGTCCCAAGACAGCGCTCCCTCCTCCCTGTCCATCCCGCCCTCCTGACAGAAAGGCTCGGGCCTCTTCCAGCTCCGCTCTTGGGTTTGAGGGTTGGGGACCTTGGTGTCTCTCTCTGCCAGGGTCTCCACTTCTTCCTTCATTAACCGGTTTAGCCCAGGTCTAGGCTGAGCAGGTCACAGGCAGGAGTCCTGCGGAGAAGCAGCTATGGGCACGTGGCTGCCCAGGCGATACGAACGGTGGGCAGGCAGGGCTGGGCAGGGCTCTGACCACTCTGGGATGTGTGTGAGGGGGACATGGCATCTCCTCCTTGGGGATCAGGGCTTCTGGGGCTCAGTCTCCCACTCAGATCACCAACGGGGCCGCCGGCTAGGACCCTCTTGGGGCCGATGGTGTTTGTAGGGGCCAAGTAGCAGTTTTGTTTGGCTCTTCTATTTGTTTTTTAATACGTTTTTTTTATTGTGAAGACACTGTACAGAGGGGTTACAGTTACATGAGCAAGGCAATGAGTACATTTCTTATCAAGCATTGTTACCTCCTCCTTTGTTTCCCCTTCCCATCCCTGCCCTCCCGTCTCCCCCCCTCCCCGCCTTGCTCTTCTATTTCATCCTAGGGTTTGGGGGGCATCTCAGGGCCCAGATGTGGTGACTGGGAGGAAAGGAGGCCCCTGAGCTCCTGGAAGCACCCAGTGTGGTGCACGGCGGGGGGGAGCCCTGGTCTGTCCCGAGAGGCAGCTGGTCCCAACGCCATCCACGGGGCAGGATGAGTGAATGGGTGGGAGGAGCTATGGGATCCTGGGCCCCTGGGGGGCCACACTGCACCCCTCTGTCTGGGTGAAGCAAAGCAGTGAAGCACCTGAGATGCGTAAAATGATGCCAAGACGGAGGTGGGAGGCCGGACGCTCCAGCAGATAGGTTGCCTGGCCTTAGTTTGCCCGATGATAACAAGGATACAGTAACAGCAACTCATTTCATGGATGGTGGTGAAATGAAGCGAGTCTGTCTGTGCGCAGCACGGGGCACGGGGCTGTAGAGGTCAGGAGAGCAGACTGCTGTGGAAAGGTGGCGGCGGCGGGAGGCAGAGGCTCGAGCCATGAACCCCAGGCCGGAATGAACCCTCACTGGAGAGCATCAGGGCCCCACGTCTGTCAGGGCGGATGGATAGAACCTTCCAGCCCGGGAGTGCGGGTCTGGCCAGGCCGCTTGCTGACTCTCTAACCAGTCCTGTTTTCTCCACAGTCTCACTACCGGCCGTTCTACGTCAACAAGGGCAGCGGGACCGGGTCCAACGAGGCCCCGTGAACTGGCAGGAGAGACGCAGCTCCTCACCCCTGCCCTCCCTGCCGCTTCTGCTTTCTAAGCTACTGTCTTCTTGATGGGGAGCAGGGACCCCATCCAGCTCCGCCCTGCCCTCCTGCTGCCTCTGCCAGCCCTCTCAGGGCCTCCTGCACTCTTCCTGCTGCCCCGCCAGCGGCTCCAACCACGGCCTTTTCCTGCTTGGTGACTTAGAGTGATCACTGCGGCTCTGGTGCTCAGAGGCTCCTCTACCGCAGGGGTGAGAGGCAGGCAGCTTCTCCCCCTCGGGGGCTGGGTCACCGGCTCACATGGTCCCAGCCTGCCTCTCTGCCAGTGCCCCGTGTCTGGAGAGGTCAGTAGATGTCTGGCTAAGGCCAGCTTCCTAGCACCCCAATCCTACAGGGTCCCCCCTTTTCCCTAGCAGTCTGGTGCTGTCAGGAGGAGGCAGCCAGCCTCGCAGAAGCAGCAGCCCCGGGCCTCCCCGGATGGAAGCCCCCTCGGTGACTTGGCCCCATGCTGCCCTGGCCCTGGGCTCCCCCATCCACTTGGGGGCGCTCTCCTGTCTGGCAGGACCATCTCAGCCCGGGGATTTCTCTCTCCCACCTGCCAGGAGTAAGCCGCAACCCACCGTGTGAAACAACCTACCCTTACTCGCGGCCACTAGCCTGGCGGTCCTGAGGGAGACCCCAGTTACTTGTAGAATTTCCTAGGTTCTTGCTGATGAGGGAGAGCGAGCGGGCAGGGGTGGGGGTATCACACGCTGCCTGGGCGGGGAGTCTGCCTCTGCCCTCTGCCCTCTGCCCACCCTCCAGGTCACATACCACAGCACCCTGGGCCTGGAGAGACCCAACCAGAGGCAGCATGGTGGGGTGAGGCTGGCGGGGGCTGAGCAGGGGGCCAGCAAATAGGGCTGGGGACAGGGACTTTCAGCACGGGCTTCCCCTCCTGAATAAACCTCTCACCCCTCACTCCTCTGGCCCTGTGTGGTGTGTTCCTGAGGTCCCGGGGGCCGGCAGCCACATGGACAACTCTTTCCCTCAGCCCAGTGTCCAGTCATCTTGCGTCTTTCATTGTACCTGGAGTCTCCCTCCATGCTCTCCCTGTGCTAGGCCGAGTCTCTGAGGCTAAGAAGACTAGAACTTTCAGAGTAAGGCCTTGGTTGACGCTGAACACAAAGGGTGGGGAATAGGTTGAATATTCTGAGGGTCTCCGTGAGTGAGTAGATCCCATGACCAACCTACCCAGAGCCTGCCAAGGGTGCCGGGCACCTGCGCTCTAAAGCCAATGGTGCCTCCCCCTGGCTGCGCTGGAGCTGACCAGCATCTTCAGGCCTGACAAGAGAAGAGGCAAAGGAGGGGCCAAAGGGGGAGCTGGAGGATGTCCAGGGAGGGGTAGCTGGAGCGCCCCTGGCCTGGACGAGGGCAGTTCCTTGCCTCTGCCAGGCTGCCACAGTTGGGATCCTGCTATACCTCTCGCCAGCTGCGTAGACCTTGGGCGAGCTTCCCAGACTGCCTGAGCATCCACTGGATGAAACTCAAAAGGATTTCTGTGAGCAACAAAAACAAATACTTGCCATGCAGGTATTTGTGTGGCGCAAAGACCTACATACACAGCAGTGAGTAATTGAGAGATTGTATCACGATTATCATTGAAATAACAACAACAAAGCAACAGCAGTAATAATGACGGCATCTCGACCTGGGGTGAAGCTTGATTGTCCTGGGCTTTCCAACCTTCTGCACCTGGTGAATGCCGGGAGGAGATACAAGGGGCCAGGTGAATTTCTCATCTGAGGCAGCTGGGAATCAGAGCCCTGGCAGATGCAGTTCTAGGGTACACCAGAAGGGGGCAGCAGTTCACTGTGGTTAATGAGCACTAAGCCTCCCTCCCCAGCCTTTCCACTACGGTGAGCCCCATTTTCTCCTCCCACATCAGCTAAGCAGGCCTCTCCACCCTAGATTGCAGAATGCATAATCCTACTACAGCATACCCCCAGTCTAAACAGGAGCAAGAGGCTTCCCACTCCATCTACCAGTCCCCAAGGAGCTGGGCTGGAGACCAGAGGCTGGACATGGGAAGGGTCCCCTCCCTGTGGGTGGTCCCCTGGGGGACTGGGGAAGATCCAGAAGGGCTCAAAGTCTCCAAAGCCCCACCCTCAATCCCTGTTTCCCCATCAAACCCTCAGATCATCCCAGAGTGACCCAGGCAGTTTTTATCTTCCGGAGTATTGACTATTATGTTTGAAAATGAGCTGTTGTTCAGACACATAAACGAGAGAGATAAACGCTAATTGCTGAGAGAATGTGCCAACTTCCATTTCTGAATTCTTCACCTTGCCAGGGCCAGGGCTAAGAAGGGGCAAAGGGAGAGAAGAGGACAGAGGTGGTGGGGGTGGGAATCAGATTCTCTTCAAGGGGTTGTGGCCCGGGGTGGTTGAGTCAGGAGCCTCTTTGCAGGGGATGCAAATGGTTCCTGGGTCCCCAGGGCTCCAGTGTGTCAAGTTGGGGAGAGAGGGAGGCCTTTGGCTGAGCTCACAGTGATTAAGAAGTTAGTTTCCAAGCTGGGTGCGGGTGGGCTCACACCTGTGACCTTAGCTATTCAGGAGGCTGATCCCGGTTAGAAGCCAGCTTGGGCAGGGAAGTTCGTGAAGACTCTTACCTCCAATTAGCTGTCAAAAAGTTGGAAGTGAAGCTGTGGTTTAAGTGGTAGAGTGCTAGCCTTGAGTATGAAAGCTCAGGGACAGTGTTCAGATTCTGAGTTCAAGCCCCAGGGCTGGCAAAAAAGAAAAAAAAAGTTTTCAGTGGACGGTTTAGCTTGTTCCCTTGCTGGCCTGTGATTGGCCTTTGTCCACTCCTCTGCCTTATTCTGTAAGTAGAAGGCAGAGCCCTGTGGAGCCCATACTCCAGACTCTGATGGCTCCGGTGGGTGGTGGATCTTTGCTGGTTTAGGGGTGTAGCCTGGACCAGATGTCCCCAGACCCAATTTGGATCCATTGTTCAGGCCCAGATGAGACAAAAGACCCTGGATCCATTGTTCAGGCCCAGATGAGACAAAAGACCCTGGGGTTGTGGGGAGGAGCAGGAAAGAGGGGCTCCTGGGAGGAGATGTTCAGTCAGTCACAAACGTAGTCGGTCCTGCCCACCCTCTATGGCCAAGGTTCCAAATCTTTGGATTCAACCAAAGGCGGACTGAAAATAAAAAAAAATAAAAAAAGAGAAATGCATCTAGACAGAACATGTAGACTTTTTTTCTTGTCATTATTCCCCAAACAATACAATGTAACGATGATTTACATAGCATTTACATTGTATTAGATGCAAGTAATTGGAGAGACGATGTAAACCATACAGGGGGAGGTGCTTAGGTTATATGCAAATTGCTCGTGTTCTATATAAGCAACTGGAGCATTGGCGAGTTTTGGTATTCTTGTCCAGGACAGGAGGGGGTGTGGCCTCCTCCTTGAATCCCTGTGGAGGCCAACACACCTAGGCCACAGCCAAATCCATCTAGTGGGGGGGAGGGGGCGCACAGCAAGGCCGGAAGGGAGGAAGGGCCATGGTAGGCATGCTAAGCTGAGCGCATGACCCAGGGCTGGGTGAACACGGCAGGGACCAGACGGCCTGACTTGGGCTGAGTTCCACACTTGGGCTGGCAGAGACCAGCCCTGCAGGGGACTGGCTGCAGAGTTCGATCCCAGCTGTGTTAAGATCTGGGCTTGGGCTGTTTGTGGAGAAGGGCGATGGACAAATCCACCTCACGAGGAAGACTTGGTGGGCATGGAGATCAGGGCGAGGATGGAGGTCCCCACACCGTGGAGGTCAGTGCTGTGCAGGTGGACAGGCAGGAGGGATGCAGAGCGGGAAGGGGCTGGGGGCAGGGGCTGGGGGTGGGGCTGGGAGATGGGTGGAGCCAACTTGGGCTGGGTGGAGAAGCAGAGGCAGGATGTCACCAATCTGCTGTAGCCTGCGCCTGAGCAGCAGACCACAGCTGCCCTGGAGCTGCAGCCTCACGACCAGGGAACAGCGGAGTCAATAGAACAGGAACGTTTTCCTCCTGATCCTCCATTTCCTCGTCTGACAAATGGGGCAATAATGTGACCAATGAGGTTTCTGTAGGGATGAAATGAACTACACAGAGAGCCACAGAGGGTGGACATAGACACAGTATCATTGCTCACAGAACAAGACGAGGGCTAGCCTTCTCCTCCCCCGGCCTTCTTCCCCTCCCGTCCCTCCCACCCTCCAGTCCTCTTCTTTCTTTCCTTTTCTGACGCCTGCTTTCTCAGTAGTGGGTGGACACCGACCGTGTCCGGCAGGGGAAAGCTTGCACATCTCCCGGAGCTCAGAGCCCGGCTTCTCCCTTTCCCGATGGGCATGCCGCCACAGGTCCCTTGGGCTGAATCTGGCAGGCGATCCAACGTGTATGCGTGGAGGCCAAGCTTCTCCTTCTTCGCAGGGCCGGCCGCTACATGCATGGGTGGCCGGGGTAATTAATTTACACATTTCATCCCTCTTAGACTAACAAGCTGCTCTCTCTGCCTGTGCTGAGCCTGAGTCCTCCTGCTGGGCCTACCCAAGATGTCCTCTGGACCCCAGATGACAGTACTTCAGGAAGGCTCCTGTTCCTTGCGGGCCTGTGCCAGCCCAGGGCTGCGGGGCCCTGAGCCCCCCCTCCTGACACTGGGTGTTGGCTGATCCCCAGCCTGCTGGTCCAGGAATACTAGAGGTCATCTTAGATGCCAATCAACACGACAGTCAGCCCTGCGTGTGCATCCATGGACCTAACCGATGGTAGATTGAACTGATGGGAAAACCTTACATCTGTACTGAACACTGGTAGACTTTTGTTTTTTCTTGTCATGGTCCCCTACACTGTCCAGCATAAGAAGAATTTCTATAGTGTTTACATCGCGCTAGGTGCTATGAGTCCTCCAGACTGGAAGGAGGCTGCGCAGTAGGTGGAAGGCGATTACGGCCAAGAGACATGCGCATCCACCAACCCACCGG